TGTGGGTGTGTGTGTGTGTGTGTGTGTGTGTGTGTGTGTGTGTGTGCGTGCGCTTGTTTGTCTATATGTGCCTATATATGCATGACCAGTCCACAGTTTAGCCAGCTCTCACCTAAAGTCAGCTACATCTATGTGCAATGTTTTAAGCAATGAAGTCAACCCCCAAATTTTCTTGAATATATGTTCTATGTGCCCCCCACCCCAGTTGAAACATGGCATTTTGATTAATGTTGCGTTTGTGGGAAATGATTTAGACCAGGGGTCCCCAACCGCCGGTCCGCGGACCGGTACCGGTCCGCCGGGCATTTGGTACCGGGCCGCACAGAAAGAACTTGCCTTAATTCCGTTTTATTTATTTCGGAATACGAAAGATGTTTTATTTTGAAAACTTACCGGATTCTCCGTTACATCCGTCTGTGTCCAGCTTGACACACGTCAAGCCACGCTTCTCCGTAACGCGACCAATTAGGCTAAAAACAAACACCGGAGCTCGCAAAATGAGTAAAAAAACTGCTGGAGATCGCAAATGACGGCGGCCTTAAAAGTACGTTCGAGACAACTGGATTAAAGTTATGTCTGAATACTCTGAGATCGCCACAATAGCACTTTTGCTATTTCCGACATCCTACCTGTGTGAGGCGGGGGGGATTATGCAGCAACGGCGACGAAAACAAAATTACGAAGTAGACTGGACATAAACCACACACTTGCGGCGTCATTGTCTCTCCTATTACCCCGAGATGGGACCGTCTGGTTGCCGAAAATCAAGCTCGGTGCTGTGGTGAGTCGTCATTTTCATGCACTTTGAATTTGCGTTGTATCGTATTTTGAAGGCATTAAACATTGCCATAGCGATTGGAGTGTTGCGGCCAGATTAGACGCTCCTTGTGTTTATTATTATATTTCGAAAACACCACAGTTTTCATGCAGCTCATACCATGTTATTTTGTTGTATTATTTCCGCCACACCTTAAATGCCGGTCCCTGAAAATATTGTCTGACATAAACCGGTCCGTGGGGCAAAAAAGGTTGGGGACCCCTGTACTAAGGAGTAAGTTAAATAGGTTTAGGTCAGGGTGCAGTCATGTTATTTGACACCGTCCTAAACCAAGCATGCTTTTATGGACCTTGTGTGCACTGGGACGATCGTAGAAAAGAACCTTAGCCAAATGGTTCCCTCTGAGTCATGGCTCAGGTGTAAAAGCTATAAAGAGCACTCATGAAAAACAAACTACTATATTAAATCGACCAGAACAGAAAGTGAAGCAGTGACTGAGCAAATCTGCATTAAAAAATCTTTTCACATTTAAATACGAGAGAAAATGTTAATGTTATAAGACCATTCATTTAAAAAATACTGTTTTTCCTATAATTAGTCACCTAAAAGTATGAGTGTGAAGACTATCCACAAGAAGACTACGGTGTTGGTTGGCTCAAACTTTATTTAGTCATCTAAAAACAGCCAAACGAATACAATTTGACTCATGAATATTGTAACCCATCAATGCAGTCATCTGCCACACAGGGCTGCTGGCACAATAATGCAAGTACTGTACTTCATAAAGTGAGAGTCTACAAAGTTTCTGAAGTTAATACCTTTCACTCACCCTTTTACACTACTATAGCTAAGGAAACAGTTGGGCAACAAAAACAATTTGAAAAGCTGATTTAATTTAGTCTGCCTCTGACAGTGTTTCACAAGCAGGGGTATGTGCAAACATTCAATATTTTATTATAAATTGTGACTTAGTCCCACCAAATACGTCAAGCTGTATCTATTATACATACCATAATAGGAAAAAGATGCACATAATGCATATCCTTTACCTTTATCATTTGGATATTTTAAATGATAATCTTATTTTAAATTTTGTTGGGTGACATGAATTGAAGACAATGTTAAAAACGATTCTGTTCGATTACTTTTCTCGGAGTAAATGTAAATCACTGATGGAGAATGGTGTCACATTGAGAAGCATAAGAGAAAATTATTTACAAATTATAAAAAGGCAAAGCACAATACAGTAGTAGGAAAATAAATGTATTCAGCCACAGTCGTTAAACACAAGCCTTGGGGTTGGATCCATTTCATTTCTGCCTGTAAATACGATGCAAACCCAGGATGTTATCTACAGTACTTTTTCTCTGTCCTTTATGGGGACTTGCCTGTTTAAACTTTAGATACATGTACATTTTTCCGGAATGATGTTGGGCAAAATCTCATGCTGAAAGGAGTAACCACCATCAGATGTGGTGGTGATGCCCAGTGACATCATGGATCCGGGGACACCACTGCGTGATCCCAAGAATGGTGCTTGTTTGATTAGAAGCCAAGCAGTTCTCGTGACAGTAGTAGAAGGTCAGCACTCCCAGCCCAGCTCTTGGAAGCTGATTTGGATTTCAGCTCGGCCACAATCTTTGTGCTGTGGACTCTCCTGAGAGGGCCGTTGAAGCAGGTCGATGGCCAAAGGGGACCAAGGCATGTGGTCTTCGGCACGCCTCGGTGAGTGGGCCGGCCTTGGGTTAATGTGCAGGTGAAAAGGAATCTGACCTGCCTCCTCTTTGTGACACTGACAGTTTCAACAGTGCACTTGGAACAGGAAGGGGTTTTCAAGCATGGTTCTGATCCAGGATGTAAGTTGTCCATCCATCTGGGCTGCTCCTCCTGCCACCTGAAGAATCTGCCCGTCTTAACGTGAGGATTGTGATAGCAGCTGAGGAGTTGGCTGTGGCGCCCCTGGCATAGAAACAGAAGTGAGCCGACATCAGTCGCTGGTAGTTGGCAGATGGCTGGAAGTAATAAGTGAGGTGTTTCTGTTTAGGGGAGTCGGATCTGCCACAGGATGCGTTTTCCAGAGTTAAACAAAGTATTTGTTTACACAGTGTATATTTAAGTTCCAGTACATTTAACCCTTTAACATTGCTCATATTAAAAGTAATAACCCTAACCCAATAATAGCAATTGTTCTTGTAACTGCCCAAAGAAAATGCAAAGGCCATTACAAATGCAACAGTTTTGTATTGATTGTTAAAGGGTTAATCAATATAAAGTTGGGGTTTCTCACCAGGGCTGGGAAGAGAATGATCTCAGCTGTTTCAGCCCTAAACCATCCAGAATGCGGCCTTGGGGCCACAACAAAACCTCATCTCCTTAAAACTCCTCTGCCGGGTAGCTGTGTATCATGTAGTGGAGCCACCAAGGGCCCAAGGGAAGCATAACACAGGAGAGCATCTTGACAATAAAATGGAGCCCTTTGCGCCCCTGTGGCGTCATATGTGTCTGCAATAAGCAGCTCATCACAAAAAAGGATTACCTTGATGCTCGGAATGCAGCGTTATCTGTTTGGATTGCACACAATATCACCAAAGTGAGCTTGCACTCCTTAAAAATGTGTGATTTTCTGCTTTGACCATGACGAATGACTGCCGTAATTCACATGCAAACACCCATACATGTATGCTTCACACTGCGACCTGCAGAAAAATCTTTTATTGTACGCTTAAATGTCAGCGTGTCAGTATTGTCTTCCACAACATGCGTTTCCCCAGTGGAAGTGATGTTTTCCTCCTCTTTGGCCTTGACACATTTCTGCACTAATATTGTGACTGCTTGGCTGGCTCAGCAGGCCATACATATGTTTGCTGAAGCATGCAATTTTTAGCATCTTTAAAAACGTGAGAGAGCCACGAAGTGGAAAAAAACGTGGCAGTGTGTTCTTCCTGTTTTTATAGTGCGTGGTGTACTTAATATGACCAACACAGCCCACCACACATGTAAATGTATCGTCACTTGTACAGCCAAACAAGAAATCTGCCGTAGTACCATGACTGACCTCTGGGAGGCACTAGGCTGCTGGATTGTACCAAGAACAAGAAAAGGTGGTTGAGTTATATCACTCTCAAGTGCCACAGTTTTGATAAAATCAGTGGGAGAAACCCCCTGATGTTTTCAGTAACATTCTAATCAGCATTTTGTGTTTCTTCAATGGAGTCTGAAACAGTGGTTGTTTGCAGAATAATTATTTAATCTTATGTTTCATAATTTTTAGCCTGTTTTAGTTGGACGTTATCAAGATTAATTATCCATTTGTCTGCCATACTCAAATATCAACCCATCCATCCATTTCCCAACACCAAGCGGTGTGAAAAAGGTCTCGGGGAATTGCTGGAACCTCTCCCAGCTGACTTCGAGCAAAAGGCAGACTATAGAAACTACCCCAAAGCCGAGTGACGACCCATCCTGGCAGTCACAAAGGAGCCCAGGACAACATCTCAAGATGACCAGAAAGAACATCAATGCTTGTCTTATTTTTGAAAAACAAAAACAAAGAAAAAACATTGAATGGTTCCCAAGACAATATTCAATGACTGACCAGTCTAAAGTAGAACTTTTTTGAAGGTATGTGCCTTATTACCTCTCGCGTAAATGAAACACTTTAACGATGTCACTGACTCTTTCTCTTTTTTTTTTTTAAATTTGCATTATTTGCACTTATATTTTCATGCCATGTTTTTTTGCTGCGTTGCCAGTCCGTTGCAGGGCATACGTAGAGACAAACTACCATTCGCACCTGCATTCACACCATCACTGAGTGGGAACCGATCCCACGCTGCCCTCAGACAAGTCAGGCGAGTGTACCACTTCATCATCAGCGACTCACTCAAATATGAATTGCTGTTAAAAAAAAAATCTGAACTTTGAAATATAATCAACTTGGTGATGACCAAACTCCTGTACATATATAAGGAAGTGTGATTATAAAGAAGAAAATTACTGTCAGAACACTGCATACCACAAGATAATTGCTCAAAATAATCATTGCGAAATGTGAGAAACATGGACCTTTGTCGACTTTGGTCGCACATGTGACTTCTTGGTTTTTTATAGTATCTTTATTAATCATTTATTTATGTATTTATATTTAAATACGATGAGAATTACATTATAAGGCAGAATTCTTGACACAGTTCTTATTGTATATATCACCAAATTCTGCAAGTGGTCATGATGTTGTGGCTGGACTGGTGCACTGTGCTATACAAATTTAGAGGACAGAACCTGTAAATTTGAACACATATACGTATTGTATGCACGTATACAATACATTGATGCTGAGCTGTCCAGGGATATGCCTGTCAATTTTCCAACCACCTTAAAATATACTGTCCCCTTGTGGGAAGCTGAGAGAATAATATAGTCCAGGGGTGTCAAACTCATTTCACATGGTGGGCCACATATGGCCTCGGTAAATGTCAAGTGTGCCGGACCATTAAAATGATACCATACTTTGCTATAAATAACCAAAACAATATGTCTTTCCTTTGTTTTGGTATAAAGAAGCACAAGAACATTAGGAAAATGTTGAAATTTAGTGACATATCTGTTAAAAAACATTTCATGAAGCACCTTACATTTCCTTCGACAAATGTGCAATTTACTTTAATCATTCACATATATGCATTGCAACTGATCCCACTGATTGTACAAACTTTAACAAGTAATTGGTATTGAAAAATATAGTAATGCACTTAAAAAATTAAACGAGATTTACAAAGAAAGGAAGTTTTAAACCTTTTACACATGCATATAAAATCTAAATGTAATCCCTGCCTACGCCTTACAAACTAAGGAGAGTGCTATTAAATGTGTAAATGTGAGAGTGCTATTGATAGCGTCTGCTGTCATGGATCTGTCTCAGTGACGGACTGAGGCTGCTGTTGTCTTCTTCTCTGATCAAAACAGTGTCCCCTTGCGGATACTCAATGAATTGCACCTTATTAAAAATATTAATTCTGTGTCTTTAATGCATTTCTTTCACTTTTAAATTATCCTGCGGGGCTGATTGAACCTCCTTGCGGGCCGGTTCCGGCCCGCGGGCCGTATGTTTGACACCCCTGATATAGTCCAATGTTTTCTGTAGAAGAGTCTTCTCCCAACTGAATGTGAATTGTTTCCCCCCCCCCTTTTTTTTTTTAAGTTGTTAGAAATTTGGGGAATTCATCATGATCTTTAACTTCACAAGTTATTATACCACAGGGCAAACCTTGTTTCTTTTGGTTTCATTTCTTTCATCTGAGATGCACATTTGAACTGAAATAGCAAAAGATATGATCAAATGCCAATAGCATGTGTATGTTCCGCGACATGAAATCTGTCTCGCAGTTTGCCATTTAGCTCCAAAGGGCGTAGCTGTCTTTGTCCCGTATTTTATCTCCTGACTTGGAGCATGTTGTGAATGCATGACCAATTTGCTTGGTGAGAAAACAAAATATACGAGCAGGTCGTGATTGGGTCTGAACTCACAGTCATGCAGTTTGCACAGTGAACATGAAGAGTTTACATCATTTACTGACATCCTCCTCGAGTTGCCTTTGATGTCGTCAAGTTGAATAGCAAATGAAAGCAGAGCTTTGTGGACTATAGGGCTAGTTCATACATCACATGAGCTGACAATTTGTCCATGGGCTGGTCTTTGACTTTCTTGCAGTGCCATGCTGTTTGATACAATCAGCAGTGTGTGGTTATGAGGTGCCCCCTGCTCGTCACTGCTAGCTTGACAAGGATTGTGTGCACGAAACAAAGCAGGAAGGTGCCGAATTCATTTTCACAAAAAGATGACACCATAGCTGAGCAATCTTTTTATTAGCATTCTACATCTAGTGTACTTTCATGCTGGTGAGCAAAGAGCTGTGATTGGTTACTCCTCCACTCTGGCCTCTGATGGGTTACTACACGTCCTATCAAAATAAAATAGCAAATTAAAAACACCAACGGGCACAAATATGACAGTGGATTCAACAATCGACTTACCACCTGAGCGCACATATAATCCACAGAGAGATACTTTGGAAGTGTATCGCATGGCTGTGGGGATCCCAGATTATCGCTGTTTGCTGTAATGGTGCATGTGTGAGTAAATCCATTTTGGTAACACCTGTGAAGACATTGAAATGACAGTTCAAATAAAAGAATCGCAAACATTTGACACACCGATTGAATTGGGTGACGCGTACCAATCCATAACTCGAGCTGCAGCTGAGACACTGTTACAGAAAGTCATTTCTGAGGGCGTTTCAGTGCAGGTATTCTCATCCAGGCGGCCATACTTTGCCTTCAGAATCACCAGCTCTCCAGTCTCTGAGGATGACATGGAAACCTCAAGCTGAACACAATAGCAGCTTCTGCATTTTATTTCCATATATATATATATATATACACACACACACACACACACACACACACACACACACACTAGTGTAAGTGAAAAAAAAATGCTCACTTACCACATGTGAGAGTTTCAGTTTCTCCTTCGCACAAGATCTTTGACATCGTGCCTATGGAAGTGTTTGCAAGTTTGAATGACATATATTGGGAGACAAATAAAGGTTTTTTTTTATCTTATCAAAGAAAAATTGATGGATACAAGTGCCCCATTGACACTCTGTACTTAATTTATTTACAGTAACATGTCAAAACCAATCCATCAGTGTAGGTAAGAATATGCTGAGCAATTACCATAATTAGGGACAGGGAATAGAAAATAGCAAAAACCCGCAAATGGAGTCACTGACGCCATTCAATTGCATTGATATATATCAGGGGTGGGCAATTATTTTCCCGGGGGGGCCAAATGAGAAGCAGAAAATATTGTGGAGGGCTGGGCCAAAAGTTAGAAATCTACTCCCGATTTCAGTTTTATTTCTACGTTGAAATAAGTGAATGACATTGTTAACAGAAGCTGATAAGAGTATGTATTATTGCTAGACAATGAAAGTGCAGTTATTTTACAGAAAAAGCATTAAAGTATTACCATACTTTTTTTTTTCATGAGAACAGTGAAACAACTGTGGTATATGTCCTGGATGAACGTCCAAGTATGTTAACAACATACATGTGTGACAACACCAGCAACAAAGTGCAACAATATATTGCCCAAAAACTGCAGCATACAGTACAGGTACATGACAAAATATAACAAAGTTAGGACTATTTGCTGCAAAATGAGACGAGTAAAAGACCTGGTGGCTTTCTTTCCACTCACTCACTGTCTCGAACTTGACCTCCACTCGATCACCACACAAGACAGCGTTGCTCAGCTGATGTCGTGCAACTACTTTTGAAGCTAGCCACGGGACGCTTCGAAGTCTTCGACACCCATAGCGCTATGGAACTTGATTGCTCTCTTATTAGCGGTCCAGTTTGCGGAAAGTTTTTAGCACGATAACAGTCAAACCATTCCAGGAAACGTTTATTTACTCGACTGTCCGTCGAGCCGCATGCAATTCACTCTGAGCACGGAAACACCCAGAATTGGACTGAGCAAGAATCGCTTCCTCGTTTTTCAAAGTCTCGTAGATTTGAGTCTGTCAGACTCCAAGCGTCTCCTGAATGTTTCGTACTTTGTAACCCGCTTCGTTTAATTAGATCCACTTCACTTTCGCGGCCATGACTGTTCCTCTTCCTTTGGATGCCATGATATACAGGACGTAAAAATGTTCGCAATTCCAGTAAAACTCACTGCAATAAAAAGTCACTTGCATGTCGTCGTTTTGAATCCAATGACTGTAAATTCCGCCGCGGACACACTTATTCCGTCGTATCGAGCGGATTACTTGAGTTAGCGTGACTGCGGGCTTCCGTATCGTCTCCCTAATTTGCCCAGGGCTGAGATATATATATATATATA